TGTTATAAAACTTGTTTAAAACTTCTAATAATACAAAAAAAGTTTTAAAACTTGTATTTCAAAAAGTTAAAAAAAAATTGAAATACTTCTTATATAATATGAAAAGAATTAAACCATTAAATAACTAATGATTTATTATATTTTAATTTGCTTTCATTGCTTTTATGAAAAATATAAAATATTATATATATTATCATTATATATCAAATTTGTTATATGGTTTAGATCATATGATCATATTTATTATTTTATTATTGGTCAACCTTTTTGTCGATTGTACTTATTATAGAAATGCTGATCAATATTTTAAACCAATCAGAAGAAAGTCTTTTATATTTTCAATTAATAAATTCTCTTTAATAATATAAAGTTTTTTTTAAAAATATTTACTTTTAAAAATTCATATTTTTATAAATATATTAATCCAGAAAAAAAAAATGTTAATTAGTAAAAATTAAATGAAAACTTGTAAATATAATATTTTATCATTAAAAAGAAAGTGTTTTTTATTAAAAAAAATATATTAGTAATTTTGGATTTTTATTATATAAAAAACACATTATAAACAAATAATTTATGGTTTCTTTATACAGCTCAATGCTAGGTTAAACTTTAGAATACTTGAATGATCAAGAAAATAATTTGGTTTTTTTGAAATTATTTTTTATAAAGAAAACAAATATTAAATAAAAACATTTATTAATTTAAATATATTTAAATATACAGTTTTCCAAAAATTAATTTAATTGGCATGTTGGATTTAAATACATTTTTTGGATTTCCTATGAGACCTCTTTTTGATCATTAAGCATCCTATCATTTACCAAAGTTTTATCACCATCAAGCTCTTGACCTGGAACCACTTCACCTTGTGTTGTATCAATAATTCCTGGTTCAATTGAGAGAATATCTGCTTCGCCACAAATTTGTAAAACTTGTTCAGCTTTTTCGACGCTCATATCACCTAACACTTTATTGATTTTAGTTATTTCGCCGGTTTTTAAAGCTCTTTGGAAATCAACAGGTAAAGTTTCAAAAAGTTGATATCTGGACTTTCCTTCCTCATCTGGAGCACTTTCGTCTGGAATACGAACATTAAGTGACATGTTGGGATCCGTCACCTCGATTTGAATTTGTTCTACTTGCTTAGCAGGTTGAGGTTTCTGTGTTTTTTCTGTTGCCATAATTTGACAACGTTCACGAATACGATCATATGTATCATTCACATCTTTCATGAAAACATCACGTGCTTGAGGATTCGGTGCAGTTATCCTGAGCAAAGTATTTATATTAACAAATAAATCATTGTAAAAATAAAATAGTAATAATTATAATAATAACTTACCTCCGGAAGAAAAGTGTAACACCATCTTTTCCAAGTTTTTGACAATATTGTAAAAGCCATGCTTGATGTACAGACTGTTTTGCATACTTGGCTTTTCCTTTCAATTGAGATTGAAAAGCTTCCGCTAAAATTTGGTCAACTATCTCTTGGGACACAACTTCAGGATGTTTTGTGATAAACTTGAAACTCTCATTGTAATCAACAATTTCTGCAAATTCTTTTGCGAGATCTGAAGTTAAAGCTTCATCATCATCATCATCATCATCATCATCACCATTATCATCAACAGCGGGTTTCTATAACAAAAGTGAAAATTTATTATTAAAAAAAATTTTGTATGAGATAGGACGCGATAAATTTACCTTCTCAGTATCAAGTGATTTCATTTGAGCTTCGGGATTCAGCACTTCAACAATTTTCTCTTTTTTCTTTTCGGTATGTTTAGGTTTGGGTTTTGGAGGTTCCAATTTCGCGACTTTGCTGACAGACTAATGATTACAAATTATATAAGTACCAAAATTTTGATAAATTAAATATTAAGTGATACTCACCGACTTATCGAATCCAGTGTGCATATCGTCCATAGTAATCTTCTTTTTAGCATCTCTTTCTTCTTTATCCAATTCTTGTTTAGCTTCTTTTTGTCTTTTACTTAATTTTTCACGATGTTGAGTTAATTTATCTATTAATCCTTCGCCAACTATTTCTGGGCTTTCGTATTTAACTTCTTCTTGAATTTTTTCAAATAAAACACTCATCATTTGATCAAAAGTTGGATAAGCAAGTTTTTCACCTTCACCTTCTTTTGGTTGATCATTTTCTAAAGCTTCTTTATTTTTTGCTTCAATTGCTATTTTTTTATTCTTCTCACGTAAATTTTCAATTGTTTGCAAAAAAGTTTCAACACCACCTTCCTGTAATTGTTTTATCATATCGTTAATACGACCAAGTAATACCTCATTATTTGAGGTTTCAAGTTTAAGGGCTTCAATTTTTCTACGCCTATCCTCGCGTTTTTGATGAATATCCGCTTGTTTCCATCGAATAAAAGAAGCTTTATCTACATTCGGGTGACATTCAAAGTCGTCGTCATCACTAAGTTCAAGTTTATCCCACTTACTATAGTCAATGGGCATTTTTTTTTTATAATTTTTACTGGATAGAAAGAATCGATTTTTTTTTAAATTATTGATAAATTTTTTTAGAAAAGATTTTGACGGAGTTTTTTTCTCTTCAAAAGAATCATTTTATTTTTAATATTTTTATAATAGGAATTTCTATTCCGAGTTATTGAATCTGGAAACATCCAGAAAGAAAACTTCGTGTGAAAATTACACGTTACACAATCTTGTATAAACATAAATGGTAAATCGAGAAGAGATTAAAAAAAAAAGCGATCTAGCCTCGACTTATATCTTGGTTTTCTAACATCATGGAAATTTCTGAATTTTATTTACAGAAATACACAGAATTTATCTAGCCATCACATGATTGAATTTAAAAAGGGTTAATTATGACCTTATTTAAGTCTCCGATTTGATTAAACTTGATCATTTCACTAATTTATTTAGAATCTTATCATTCAGTTTTGATACTTGATCTTTTTCTTGATATAAAAAAAATCAGAAAGAAAATAAGTTTTTGAAAGTTAGATAGATAGATATATATAGACAAAAATTATGTATAAAAATTCAATCAGGATCCAAGACAATGTGCTACTTTATACAATCTAATAAACAATCCTTCTTCCTTTTTGAGTCAATTCAACTATTAAACAATCGGTGATTTGGTTGGTATAAATTTCAAATTGCGAGTTATCTTTAACATGATTCTGAATGTGAATCTATCCAAGAATTATGTATATCTAGGTTCTTCTACGCAGTGATTTTTCCAATCCAAATGGTTTTATTAAAAAATTATGCTTCCAGACCTTTCAAAGAGCTTCCAATGGTGCTTTCAATTTTCCAAGAGCACATCACTGCTTATACGCATAAGTATTAATTATGATATGTCGGATCAAACAAAAATTGTTTGTGATCAAATTTTAGGGAATGTATTTCCTCCCATAGGCAATCTCAAAAGATCATATATGCGCTGAGAACATCATAAAAAGGGAGTTAGGCATGCAATAAATAATCAGATAAATTACTTCCAATCGTCAATTGTAATTGAATCATTCATCTTTATAATAAGGTATAATGAAAACGGGTTTAAATTTTTTATTTATTTTGTATTCTTATGACTGTTTTTTTTTATTACATATTAAATAATTCAGATTACATTAACGAAAAATATGCTTTTGATTAAAAGATTTATTATTAGATGAAATTAAATATAAATGACTCAAGCATTTATCAACATGTTTATGAAACAATTCATATAAATTTTAGCACAATGAAAATAAAATAAAAATTTTACCATTAAAATATATATATGTATGATAGTTACATATATAATATATATTTATATATGTATATATATATTATTTTTTCAAATTCTACTTGATGCTCTTTCGAACTTTGTGAAATATACATGATAATCTAAAAACATTCGTGACCTTTCTAATAATTTGGGTTCGGGTAGGGTATTTTCATTATCTTGCAGATAACGTTAGTAATACGGTACATTCGATTTTTTTTGATAATTTTCACTTTCGACGATCTGATCAGAAATAAAACATTATAAAAAAAAAAAAAAAAGAAAATAATATATATATGTATTAAAAAAAAATTTACTCTCATCTGAAATTGGAAAAGTAAAGGGAAGGGGGAAAAAAAACAAAACAAAATAATTTATCACGTTTTTAGGCTACCTCGCCCATCTACACGCCCATGTTCATCATCACGTGTTCTTTTTACTCCATGAAGCGCTTTATCATACCCTCTGTAGATATTTTAATAATTTATTTAAAGATCATAAGAATTTGTAAGAGTCTGAATATAATTAAAAGGTCATCCCCAACGCGGAAACTTGATACCAGGTCGGTTATTAGGAGGGGAAATACCTTTGTCCTCGTGGTGCTACAGGTACTGATTCTTCTGCACCTCCATATCCACTTTGATCAAAGAATGCAGGATTAAAATGTGGTGCGGGAAATCCTGCGGGTCCTGTTAGTGCAGAATATATATTAAATATTTTAACATTTAACTAAAAAAATTAAAACTGAAAGAAAAAAAAAAAAATTAACCTCCGCTGAAACCGCCTCCCATACTATAATCTTCACCGTATCCTCCACGCATTACTCCTCGGCCGCCCATCATTCCACGACGAGAGGGAACTTGTCCTCGCATATTCATCATTCCTCCACGTGCTGCCATCATAGGGCTCATGGCAAATGCTGAAGCATCTCCCACGCCAGCAAAACCATTCATATATCCACCGCGACCAGAAGCGAATGCACCATAAGGGTTCATTTGATTGCCGAAAAAGTTTCTTGGCTCAGGTACCATCTGGCCCCCTCGGAAACCTCCACGAGGATGATGAAATTCCATTCCACTTGGTCTCATAACTGCGGGACGTACGGGAAGGTTTGTAGATGATCGTTGACCACCGGAAGATTGCTGTTGCATTGCTTGTCGAGCAGCTTTTGGCGGAGGTTCTTTAATAAATAAGAAAGTAATTATTGAATAAAAAAGAAAGAAATTATTTTCCTTTTAGGAAAATCAAAATTACCTTTTGGAACAGTTTTGAAAGGATTACCGTTTGCTGAGCTTGTAAAATTAACAACACATTTTTTACCCGTGATTTCACTAATAGATATACATGAAAAAATAAAAAGAATTAGTTAAGATGATCATGTAGCCAAAGTATCAATAAACACTCATGAAATATATGCTAACATTGCGTCCAGTCTCTCTTTAACCTTTGTAGCTGATTCTGGTGAAGTAAATTCCATATAGGCAACCCTATTAACAATTAATATTAACAACTATACTATGTCGATTTAATAAGATCAAGACCAATTAAAAAAAAGCTCATAGCTACCCTCGTGATTTTCCGTTCACTTTATGTTCGTAGAAAGTTACATCTGTCACGTCTGGACCTACACCAAGATCACGGGCAATATTTCTAAGATCCTCGTCTGTAGTCCACTATTGAATTTTTTAAAAAAGTAAGTTTTAAGTCATACTTTACATAAATGTAAAAAAAAAAAAAAAAAAATTTTCGAGATTTACCCAATTCAGTTCATTAAGGTATAGCGCGTTTGTAGCATTTGTTACTGGTTTGCGATCTGGGAGTTGGTGATTCATACCATTGTTTGCAGAAGAAACTCGTGGCACAGCATTGTTATGACCTATTATAACAATATTTTAACGAAAAATAGTTTTATCATCTTTTTATTTGTAAAATTACAAAAAAATTTTACCTAAATATTATAATACCCTTCATAGTAAGGGTAATATATTAATAGCACAATATTTTACCTTCAAGAGTCATAGTTTGTATAATTGCCTTTGAATCTTCTTCGGTTCCTTCCATTTTCACTTCAAAAGCCTATTTTTTAAAATCGACAATAATAATTCGAGCAAATACCGTTCAAATAAATGACGAGATTATTTGGAGACAGGAACAAAGAAAAAGGAGAAAAAAAGCAAGGATTTGTAAGTTCACATTGATACTCTTTATTTTTTTTTTTTTCTTTTCTTTTTTTTTTTTTTTGATTCCACGGCTCTATTGGATTGATGTACAATTTTTTGAGGATTTGATAGTTTTACTTGTCACATATATATATATAAATATATATATATATTCTTATATATTTATACAATCTTTTCTTTTTTCCTCTTATATTACAGTATTTTCAAATGATTATAATGACAAACTATCAAATAAATAATCTTGAAAAATTATAAATTAAAACAATTAAGTGCAGACAAACAAATGCAACAGAATCGACACAGAAATTAAGAATGAAATATGAAAGTTTGAGAGAAAATGCAATGTAAAGAAGCCTAACAAAGTTCCACCCATCCTTATAATACAACACAGCGCAGTTCAGGTATACATATACAGCTACTTAAAAATAAAGGTAATAGAAACATCGGAACCAGCTGCGCTGTGAAGTAATTACGAACCTTTTCACCTTCCCCGAAATCAGCAAACAAATCATCGTCACCATCCTTGTTTTCATGAATATCATGCTGGTGGTCTAAAATGGATACATTATAATCTAAGTCGTTATCTCTCCTTCGTTTGGCTGGTCGACTTTCGTCTTCATCTAAGATCTCAGAATACAAATCTACGTGCTTTATTTT